TGAAATGATCGCTAGCCTAGCGAGATTTAAGCACGAGAAACAAGTAAAAGACGACAATTGCGACTGCGCTGATCATAGCTCAGCTACCAAAACGTGCATCATTTCGGCATAGACGGCGCAATCACGACAACATTCTCTTGAATTCCACGGGGGATTTTGACGTATTGTGACATATGGTATTGAACTTGGTCGAGCAGGGCACGAAAAGTGTATAAGAATTGGATCAAGGCTCTGGCAGGGGCAGAATTTCACGGCCGTCGAAATCATGCAGCATGTAGAAGACCATTGAAGCATTTCACACACCTCAAAGCTTAAGATCAACTCCTCCATGCGATCTCTGTGACTTGAACCTACTTCACCGAATATACAAACTACTGCGCAATGCTCTCCCTCAACCCCTTCGTCCGCAACGTGAACTTGACATCATCTCCAAACGGTAGACCAACACCACTGTCGTTTCCCCAACCACCTTCCCTCTCTCCATTCACTTTGATCACGGCATTTCTCAACGCATCCCCGTGCTGATTCATCATCTCGCTGTCCATACTGCCCCGGAGACTCCCAGCAGCACTACTGCTGCTCTCGCCGTCGGCCAGTGACGCAGGCACTCCCGTCCCGCGACCCTTCAGTCTGCCAGCCCATAGACCCCTCACACCGCCCCTTTTGCGCTCGGGGACTTCGTCTGTGCCTGCACTGCATACGTACAGGAGGTACTTTAGGTTGGGCAGGGTGTGACGAATGTCGACGACTTTCAGGCCCTCGGATGCACAGAGGGCCTCGATGTTCTTGTTGAGCAGGAACCAGCCGTATTCGAAGCGCCATTGGCCAATTGTCGAGCCTCCTCGTGGTAGGTATAGCGGGAAGTCGCGCCGCTGCGGCTGGTTCTCTGGGACATGGGAGATGTCGTCGCGGGCGTAGGAGCGGGAACCATGTCCTGACAGGGGATATGGCAGCGGGTAAGAGAGATAGAATTGCAGGTGTCGGACGAGCATGGCGACGAGGCCGAGCGCTGCGGAAAGGACATCCTCGTTGATGACTTTGGCGGTGGTGGCATCGTACAGCGAATTCGGCAGGGGGAGATTACATATTTGGAACGACAATGGTGGTGCGTTCGGAATTGGCGTAATCGGGAACATGTCACACAGTTCGGAGCATATGCGTCGCCTCTGGCCACGGATTCGCTGCTCCGTCTTGTGCATCAGCTCAACAGAGGCAGCCAGCTTCTCGGTATTCTTTGCGATGTCCTCGTCCGCCAGGGCTTGGGCACGTCTGCCTTGGGCTATAGCCTCTCGTCTGGTTTGAAGAGACTTTCGCAAGTCATCGCGTCGCTTTTCCGCTGCTCTGTTCGCCCGCCGCTGCGTCGACACAAACTTCTCCGCCAGAGCAACAGTCTCATCGGCAGCAGGAGTCGGATCGGCCGGTGACTCATCGAGTATCTCATTAATTTGTTGCACTATTCTTCGTCGCGTGTCTATGGCATCTTGAACGGAGCTTTCGAGGTTGGCGAGCTTCATGAGTGCATTGTATGAGGATGTTGCCACCAGAGGAGCTGGCTTTCGGCCTGCGGTTCTCGTGGGAAAGTCAAACGAATACAAGCCATCTTCGAGATGGAATATGAGGGCATTGGGCGGGAATCGGCGGTCGACCAGCGTTCCGATGAAGTTGAGTCGTCGTAAATCTATCAATTCTTCTAGTAAAAAGACCCATGATGCTTGCTGTGGACGTTTGCACCAGATGCGAATGGTGAGGATGCACGATCTCGAAATGCAATGTTCCTGGGACGAGAGGTCAAAGAATTGGAAATTAAAGTTCTGATGACTGTGTCAGTATCCGCTTTGCCACAAGTCGAGAGCATGCAGCCTCCAAAAGAACAATGCAACATACTGCCGAGCGGTTGCGAACTTCACTGATGTAGACAGGCTCGTCGCAGTCGGCCACATGCAACGAGAAGAAGACGTCGCCTACGGAGCTTTCCACCAGTGACTCGAGATTCTTCTGCCTCGTCGCTGGATTGGCATGTGCTAGGCTCAAGCTGCTTCTCCGTGGTTGAGCCTTTGGTCGCCTCTTGTCCGCACGGAGACTGTCCAGGCGCAGGCTGTCCGAGGATCGCGAGGACTGAAGTTGGCCTGTTTCGCGGACCTTGCCGAGCTTGTTCGGGCTTGTGATGATAGCAGCATCGTCCGCAGTCTGTAGATTCGGAGGGGCAAAGGACAAGTTCCGTAGAGAGAGTCCCTTTAGATGGCGAAGCTTGCGATTCTGAGGGAGCAAACGCGGTCGGCGGGGCTCAGAGAGCGTGGACATGACGCATGCATGCTGGCGCGACTGCTGTGACGGGATGCCGGGATGCCGGGATAATGAAGATCGGAAACGACGGTGTGCGGGCAGGACGTCGTTGGAGAAGACAACCCAAATTGAAGCGGGTGCTCGTCGCTTTCAACGGCGGTGCATGATGCGAGGAATGTTCAGTCCCAGGTTGGTTGGGTCAATGGCGTTGTCATCATTCCGGGGAGCTCCCCAGCTGTCTGGTGGGTCGGGCTCATTGTAGTCCGTATGAATAACAAGAGTCATCATGTCATTTCTTCACCAGTATAAAGGTACAAAGAGCAGAGAAACAGTATTTCCTGCCACTCCCATGTGCCATCTATCTAGCAGCCCCTGCACCTTCGGCCATATTGGCGAGGCCTTCAGTGGAATTCGGCCCTTGAGGCGATTCTGGTCTGCCGCAGCTGGTTTCCGATCCGCATCATCCTTGTTCCTGAGCCGTCAAGTTTCGCAGTGGCAGGAAAACTTTTTCCTCGTCCATTGCCCTTAGCTCATCCCATGTCATACACATTCACCATCTGCACCTGTCGTGTTCATTCAATAGACTCTCACGCCGGCATCAACTTGCGGGCTTCTCGCATCTCGTCTAACATGCCCGCGCCGGCGTTGTACGGGTGAAAAGCATGCCTATCGTGACACAATCGTGCCATTTCCTTAGTACCGCTATCACCGCAGAAATCGAAAGTCCACCCAGAAAAATTGACGAACAAATTGACGAAGAAGAAAAGACAATAAAGGGTCGTTTCAAACAGAAAGGAAAGAGGTCGGACAGTGGAGCGGAAAGCAACATTCATACCGGGACAAACACGATTCACCCTTATTCCATCCCTCCCATGATGCGCCGCCATAGCTCTCGTCATGTTCACAACGGCCCCATTGCTCGTAGGATATAACAAACTTGGCGCGCCTCCTTGTAGGCCAGCTATGGACTCGATATTGACGATTATGCCTCGAATAGCACCATCTTCGTCTGCGAGCTCGTTCTCGAGCATAGCCGGGACAGCATATTTTGACATTAGCATCATGGTCGTGACATTGATTTCTAACCCCCTTGCCCAGTCCGCCACATTTACGCCAACAACATCGCCCTTTGGCTCCAGAATACCTACTCCATCGATCAGAATGTCGACTCTCCCCCAGTAAGACAATGCTGTGGTGAAGACGAATACACAGCCTGATTCTGTGCTCACATCGTCTTCGAGTGAACGTGCTGCTGCTCGTGCCGGAGGGCAACCTGCTTGGGATATCATCTCTGCAGTACGGGAAGCCAATTCCTCCATCTGATCAACGCAGAGGACTGAAGCCCAATCCTCAGCCAAGAGAATGGAGATTGCTCTTCCATTTTCAAGACCATCGCCGTGACATCATGTTACGCGGGCCAATACCAGTATCTTTCTGTCCACAAGCTTCTTGACGCAGAACAGTATCCACAGATTCCATTTCCTCAAGAAACAATGGTCATTCAAGAGCATCGGCTCAAACCATCCGACTTGCTCGATACGCGAGCATCTGCCCTACATCATAGTGTTGAAGAGGCAGTGACTGTGGCCACTAGCTTCCTGGTTGATTCAAGCAATCGCGCTCGGCGAAAAAAAGGGGTATCGAGCTGCGACTACAACTGTACTCACGACCATGTCCAACAGGGCAGGAGACTATCCGGCCATACATGTCCTGCTCAAAGAAAGCGCGACGAGGGTTCTGAACTAACTCGGGTTGGCACGAGATGCCTACATGAAAATCTTGTTGCATGGCCCCACGAATCTTCCTCCAGATACAAGTCTCCTGTATCAGAGACATTGAACTCGTACGTTGAGCTTGGCTTAATCGCCACCAAGCTGCCCACTTCGAGAGAATCGGTAAAGAGCGCTGCTGCATGGATGTATTTGACTTGACCGCCGTGTCATCGGTCGATGCTACACGTAGTCTCGCAATGGCTGGGTTCCGAGTGATCAGACAGTGCCACAGGGCCAGCATTGAGCAAGTATCATTTACGAAAAGCACCCTGGCCGGTCGGTCTGACAGCCGGCCAGCCGGCGACAGCTACGGAGTAATACGGTGTAAACAGAGTACGAAGCATCAAAATCCACGAACAAGACCCAGTGACAGGGAAAACCAGGAAAGTCGGTCGATATTGTGACGACGAGGCGTACGGAGTACATCAGAGGTCATATGAGTCGCTGCCACGCTGTGTGACCTCCCATCGCGGGCTGCAAAATGTTGAGAAGATGAAACTTGTGGCGATACTCAGACCCGCGAGATGGACATTTCCGATGCAGGACTAGCGGTAGGTAAGAAGGCTGCGCTGTCTCGATTGGCACCAGGATTGCCGAAATTTACTCTGTGTCCGGGTGGGTTCGTGGAAAAGAAGATTTTTGTGAACCATCCGATTGGGCGGGAGAAACGGCCGTAAGCACATGCTCCATAAAGAGTCAAAGTCGCGAAGGCGCATCTCTGTCAGTTGTAAGAATCGGTTCGGGGGAGGCGGGCAAAACGTTGGGCATTCACCGAAATTAGCACACGTCGATATTGATGATGGGGCGCGGCTGACAAGGATGGATCCGGTTTTTGACGATCGACGCACGAACGAACACCCAGCAGGAATGCCAAGAATGTGAAAGAGACACTTTGCTAGACTTCTTAGTAACAAACAAGGGCATGCTGCTTATCAATCATATCAGGGCACTTTGGCCGAGTGGTCTAAGGCGCCGTGTTCAGGTCCCCAGCCGGAATAGTCCGGTTGTTCTGATTCGCGGTCTAGTAATAGGCGAGGGTTCGAATCCCTCAGGTGTCACTTTGTTTTTTGGTGCTTTCTTGTTAACTTGAAGGGAGTACTCGTGCCCCCGCCGCCATCTAATGATTCTGTGGGATACTTTTTTTGCTTAAACGCAGCATCGCAAGCCATATCGTGGCCCGGCTTCCTGTTTTCCTCATTGTCTCACTTCTCACTTCTCACGTTGCCTTTTTTTGGCAGGAACTAAAGCGGCAGGGTCCCAGTACGGACGAGGAACCGAACTTTCTCGTTCTGGACCTCAACTTCTTGTCTGTGCATCTTGTGCGTCGCCAACTCGAGCTCCTACTCCATAAACACGAAGGCAGTCACGGAAGTCACGGAACCAACCAAGTGCTCCTGGTGTCTTCGTTTTCGTCCTTGCTGCACAAGTCATCCAAGCAAATGTAGAGACGCGGATGCAGAATGCAAGGCAAGGCAGCACCACCATTATCATCACATGCGCTTGCAAGGTCTGCGAGATCCAGATGACGACTCTGGAAGGTCTTTCATCCTTCAACACCAAAAGCGGTTGCGGTTACCAGCCACGTTCAGTATCGGGACTTTATCCTGCCCGCGTTTTTCTTTCTTCTTCTTCACCTGCGTGGCGCCCTCCCTGTCCACGCTGTCTTTGGAGGACAAGCCTTGATGACTGACACTTGGCAAGGGGGATGAATCGTCGACGGGTCACGCAGGTAGGCCCAATCATGATCAGCTGCGTGGCTGGCTGGCTGAATTGCACTTCTGCGGGAGGACCTGCGGAGCCCGTTGATTTGTATCATGGATTGGAAGCGCTCATGCATCAGCATCGATTCAACAGAAAAGTTGGCTGATGCGCCGCGCGCCATGTCGAGGACCCAGCAGCCGGCCGCCAAGCAACCCAAATCATGACCTCCGCTTGCTGCGGATTGTCATCATTACCAAGTCAGGCCAGTCCATCAAGTGCACAGAGTCTGGCCGGCCCCCAAATCCCAAAGGTGTGTGCGACAAGATGGCAGCGGACAATGCAAAAACTAATACATCGCGTTTCCCCAAAGATGTGCCATGGCCGACCAGCCAGGTACCCGGCTCGACGTGGCATTCAAGATGCTCACTCGGCGTCCAAATTAAAGTCGTGCCTAAATGAGCCCTTCTCCCCTTGTCCACGCAAACCAGTATTCATTGCGAAGCATCTATTGGTCGGGCGGCAGATTGTTCTGCAATTGTGACTTTCCCAAGTTGTTTTGGTCCTTTGTTCTTCTCTCTGACAGCTTTATTAACAAGTTATTAGCTCGCCGTCGTAATTGGCAGGAGCCAAGAATCGGAGATCGTTACCGAAATCCGTCATGGTGTGCCACTAGCCTGATGTTTGCACACGCTTATCTTGTCAGTGATCATCTCGTTTTGACGGTTTTTGTTTTCTGTTCCACAATCCTCTGCGGGCGAGGCCGGGGATGGCGGGCCGGCATCATCGGCAGATGGGCCTCGATAATTTCCCAGCTGGTACTTTTCTTCTGTAGTCCGTAGTCCGCTATCCAACAGAGTATTAATCCACACGGACTAATCATTTCTTGATAAGTAAGTGCCCCCTTGTCCAATCCCCCCCTGCTCTCCCCCGTGCAATTGTAGCTCGGCAGAGCTTCCTACATACGGTCGGTCGGTCGGGGAGGGGCGTCGATGCAATGGACAGATCAGACGAAGCCGCTAACAGAGGGAAGCGGCAATGTGGCTGAATGAAGAATGAATGAATGAATGCCCCTGGCAGGCTGATTGATACATAGAAGAGAGCCGGCCGGCACATGCACGACCAATAAATGACATGATGCCCTCGCTCTCACCGACAGCCCGTGTGCCTGTCATGCGAGCCGTGCTTTTGCGTATCGGCACAGCTTCAAACGTATTGGGGCATCATCACTCTGTTCTTGTTTGTGCCTTGGTTTCGCAGCTGTTCACGACTGGCACAGGACTTGTGACAACGATATCAAGTATGTACGGATTACTTCTTGGCTAACTTCCCGTGGCTAGCTTTATTTGTGGTTACTTGTGGGCCAAAAGACAATGGGAACAAGACCGGCTGTACCGGCGACATGCAGTGCATTGGCCTCTCCTCCGGCGATGGCTTTTCTTCTCGTTCCCCAAAGCTGCCGTGTCACCTCTTGTCTTCTGCCGTGCCATCACTCCACGTCTTCCGACGACAAACTATCGTACGAGAAAGCACATGGTGTCCAACGATAGACTGTTTATTCTCCGTATTCAGCAAGAGCCAGGCACACAAGCCGTACATAATGGTGTGCATGTGTGACACAAAACCTCCCAATCACAAATTATACCAATGACTATCATCTTGCCAAAGCCGATGCATAAACAACATACTCTTAGAGCCATTGGCCCGGGGAGCTGTAGCTTGTCTCGATCTTTCCCTTCCTCCGTTCCTCGCCCAAAGAGGCTTGCTCAACATGTCCCTCGTGGCTAGAAAAAGGGCTTAGACTCCAGAAGCATGCCATGCATGGGAGGATCTTCCGCGGTCGCCATCCGACCAGCTTAGGCAAGAAGAGACTAATTCTCAGAAGCCAAATTACTTTTCCGGAGGCAGAACGGCAGAGTGGCGGTCCAGGCCGCAGGGGTGCTACAGCTTGTAGGGGTTCGGCGTTTCTTTGCACGACATAACAAGTTCAAGAAAGAAGAACACGACATCAAGCCTTTGTTGGACGAAAGATCCAGAAAGGAGTACGATGGCTTTCGGCCCAGGTTCAACAGCGTCTGCAGCCGCATCAGCGCATTTTTGCGTGCTCTGTTCCCTTGGGTGGCAATCCGAAAAACACGGGGTTCTAACCAAGCCATGTACGTACGTACTTGGATATGCAAACGCAAGTTTCCTGGATGCTTGAAAAGGGGCGAGAACAAAGAGGTGGCACTGCTGCGAGTTCCACTTGCGTACATTCCCACCCCTGCTGGTCCTGGTACTGATACTTGAAGTTGATGTGTTGTCGTAACAATTCTTTTCAGCCCCAGCTCTCTAGCTGGTGCTCCAGGATGCAAAGTACACGCCTTCAGCATGGATGGAGGGGCGTCAAACTATTTGCGTCGGCCCTGCGGGAGTCCCTCCAAGGCGAATCGTCATTGGTTGTGACAAGGCTTGGAGGAAGAGTGTCCTTGGAGCGAGCAACCTGGAAGTCTTTCCCTCCCATGAGTGCCGCATGCAAGACGGACGTTGTGATATATCAACCAGCTGGAAAAGTCCGTACGGACAAATCTCCCATCTTCAAAGGCTTCGGGCTTTTGCATCTTTTAGGGGAGAAGGGGGGGGGGGGGGATAAATTTGCGAGGCACCCTGGGAATATAAAAAGCCCACGATATTCCACCTCGTTCTCACTTCTTTTCCCCTTCCTTCATCCCAAGCACTCATCCAACTCAAACGGCACTTCCTCGACAACTATCTCTCTCTTTCTCTCTCTCTCTCTCTCTCTCTCTCTCTCTCTCCAAAAACTATTCATTCTCTTCTTTTAGCTCCCCGGCTATCATTTTCCCAACCACGAATATGAAGTACGCCACTGTCATCGCCGCCCTCGCTGCCGCTGCCATCGCCGCTCCCACCAACGGAGGCGGCAGCTCCGACCAGTGCAACAACAAGCCTAACACCGTCTGCTGTACCGGCCTCCTTGGCCTTGTTCCCCTCTGCGCCCTTGCTGTTCTCGGCCAGACCTGCTCTGGTAGCTCTTACTGCTGCCAGAGTGCTCCTCAGGTATGATCTCCGCTTGCTGCTCCGGACGTACACGGGAAGCCAGTCTACTGACATTTTCCCCTTTTCTCTTCGTCTAAAAAAAAGAATGGGATTATCAACATTGGCCTCGAATGCGTCAAGCTTCTCTCCTAGGCGTGCTTCGAGAAAACCCAATTGCCTGTCCATATTGAGATAATGACCTCGCCCGAGATCCTCATCTTGGCGCCACCGGAGTGATGAGATGGGTTAGTGAGAAGGTTGGATATACATGGCTACGGGGAAAGGGGAAAATCAAGCTCCTGTACATTCCTTTCTTTGTGTGAGCACCTGTTGTTCGATGGACGAATATACAATGTAGAAACAGTTGGGCTTGGTGCTCTGGCCGCCGAGGTAGATGCGAGCGAGCGGTCAACAAGTAGTTTGTTTTATTTCACCACGGCCTATTGTAACGAGGCTCCCTTGCAATAATATCTTGTCCTTGGACGTTGTCTTTTTTTTTTTTTTCCCTCGAATCCCGGACTGACTTGTGCTTGACCATTCAGGGGATCCCAATCTTCTGCTTGTTTTTTTGACCTTTGTGTTGACGTAGGTTGGATGGACTGGTGGACGGTGCCAGCTTCTCAGGTGGTGCGGAATGTATTCTTGGAACCAGACCAGGAGCGACTGGGCAAGCTTGTATCATGCAGAGCATTCAGTGTGACTTGTGTGGAAGCCGTCAGTGCGGTCGGTGATGATGGTCCAGAACTCCACCGGGTCGTTGACTTGCACATCTCCACAAGTTCTCCATAATTGCCGTCACGCCCGCGGGGTAGAGGGGGGCGATGATGCGCATAACCTATCAGGTCCCAATCCGTGGAAGCGAAGAGGGGGGGAATATACAACATAACATAACGGTCGTTCGATATCCACTCCCAACCATCCTTAACCACAATAATAACTGGGCGTATCCCGAACGCTATTTCCGAGCTCTCTGCAATCCCAATCCTTCGTGATCGGCCTGTTACGGAGTAGATGCCGGCGTGATCGCAACCTCACTGTTTCCTCCAAGCAACAACGGCTCGGCATGGGGTCTCAGTCCACCCATCTGCAGTCACCCAGCCAACTCATGATCCTTCATCCTGGGTGCCGGGAACACTTGCCCTTGAAGATGATCGGCTTCACGGCCTGGCAGAAGCAGCAGGATGAGCTCGGCTTCTCCGTCGGCTTCCAGAACGCCGCCGCCGCCGCCCTCAACTACGGCGGGCTCGGGCATCGGCTGCATCTTCTTCGTGCCCCTTTTGTCCACAGTTACGGCCGCCGGCCCCCTCTACCTGCTCATCACGTT